GGAGGGTGGCCTGCTGGCCTGTTGTTGGGCCTTTGCCATTTTCCTCACCAGCCTCACCGGGCCTTTGGCCATTTTACGGGCTGGGCCGGGCTGGCCCACGCTCCTGGGGTAAGGCCTAGGCACGGCCTGTTCCTCCGGGCCGTGCCAGCCCGGGCCCGCTAGCCACGGGCCAGGCCGTGCTTGGGCCGGGCAAAAAAACGGGCCTTGGGCCGGGCCGACGAGGCTCGGGCTGCATGGCCAACTATAGTTCGGTCGCTGTTTCACCACCATATGAAGGAAAATAATACGGCCAAATCTGGTGCAACCGAATATTTAGATTAGGATTCACTCGTAACGTTTCCTTTTTCTAGCCTATTTTGTTTTCCTTTTTTATTTCTGTTTTTATCTTCCAAGCGTACTGTATCTAACTCAATCTCATGTCTTTGCGTTCCGTATATAAAACGAATATTCACAATTCACTCATAATGTTTCCTTTTTTATGATTTAGAATCGGACTCTATGTCGTGCTAGACGAGAGCTATTCTAATATGAGCACAGGTTATATATATATATATATATATATATATATATATATATATATATATATATATATATACACACACACACGGAAGAAACTCTTCAGTGTCTGGTAATTAGAGGTAGCTGGACAAAAAAATAGATAGACGAAAAAATAGGCTGAAATTTTGCCTCTTTATTATTAGGTATAGAAAAAAGTTCATTGCCGATGGACTCTAATCGGGCTTGGGAAAAACAAAAATAAAAAAGACATCAAAACAGAAAAAGAACTTTGAACGGAACTAATTTCATGGCCCATGGACTCCAACCGAAACTGAAAAAAAAACATAAATAAAAAAGACATCAAAACAAGACTCAAGCTGAAAAAAGACGTAACTTGGAAAAATAGAAATAAAAAATATAGACTTGAGAAAAACATAAATAAAAAAGACATCAAAATAGAAAAAAAAAACTTTGAACGGAACGAATTTCATGGCCCATGGACTCCAACCGAAACTGGGGAAAAAAGCATAAATAAAAAAGATATCAAAACAAGACTCAAGCTGAAAAAAAGACGTAACTTGGAAAAATAGAAATAAAAAATACATCCAAACAGGAAAAAGACTCTAACTGGAACTAAAAAAAATCCACAAAATATATGGAAACAGAAAAAGCCTCACGTCTTGTACGTGACGGATAGTTTCTAAGGCAAAAAAAAACAGAAAAGTCCGAACATTTTTGAAAGAAAATATAGATAGAAGAGAAGAGAAATAGAGATATTCTTTTCTATTTGTATTGGGATTCTTATTCACTACTTAGATAAAGGACTCTATTTGGATTAGGATATACGTATGAGCACGGGTTATATATATATATAAGTCCGTACGGAAAAAAAAAACTCTCTATTATCTGATAGTTAGAGGGAGATGGACAAAAAAAATGGACGGATACAAAAGAAGCTGAAAATTTGCCTCTTTATTATTAGGTATAGATATCAGAAAGGAGCCATGATAGGTTTATTGTGGAAGAATCACATGTGACATCTGGTAATCGGACACTTTGATTTGGGCTCTGCAATTGATAGTAATATTGACAATCATCCTATAGATTGTCCAGAGATACAAAATAGTGTTGAGGTTGGGGAAGTTCCTGCTGGCAACAAAGTGTTGAAATGGATAATAATGACGATAAGATATTAGGATTCTCTTGATCCTAAACAAGTTGACATTTTAGCACAAAATGACCTTGAAAGAGACTTATCAATTCAAAAAGGGCCTTAGGATAGATATTCTAGAAGGTTTTCTGCACTATTCTATACTAGAATTATTTCAACCGATGAGGGTTGTGATAGGGATTGGCTTGTCTATTCTAAAGAACTTGACATAGTGTTTTGCTTCGGTTGTAAATTATTTATAAAAGGGCATCGAAATAAAAGGTTAGTTAGCAAACGAGGGGTGTAATGATTGGACACATCTTGGCAATAGACTTAAAGATCATGAGACAAAGTGCAAATCATGTTTTGAATATGACCACTTGGTATGAGTTGGGTAGTAGATTCCAAACGGCTATGGCGGTCCAACCGGCCAAAGGCCACAGTTGGACCAGCTGTGCTACTTGGGCCTGACAGCATGCCAGGGCCCACGTGCCACCGGACTCTATCCGATGCCTCGTGGTTACACCAACCGCTTGGACCCTTAGGGAGCCGGCAACAACCCATCAAGGGAATGACTCCATTTTAAATGTGCTAACTTCTCCAAGTCTACCAACACTTTTGTGTACGTGAGTTAGCATTTTCCAAATATTTTCGAAGACTTTTCTCTTGCAATCTCAGCACGCCACTAAGTCATAATGCAAATGCAAAGTTAGTCACACTAAGTGGCACTATATAACTATTGAAACTTAAGAACTCTCCCTCTTTATAGTGCGGCTATCTATCCTAAACCTAACCGTGAACTCTATTAAACTTTGGTTGGCGAAAGCAAACCCGAATTATACCTTTGCCATGAGGCGAGTTCCCGGTAAGTATATCAATACTAATCCTACTACTACTACTACTTCTACTACCACCACCACCACCACTCCTATACCAATACTACTACTACTACTACTACTACTACTACTACTACTACTACTACTGCTACTACTGCTACTACTGCTGCTACTGCTACTGCTACTGCTACTGCTACTGCTACTGCTACTGCTGCTGCTGCAACTGCTACTGCTGCTGCTGCAACTGCTACTGCTGCTACTGCTGCAACTGCTGCTACTCCTACTACTGCTCCTACTCCCACCACCACCACCACCACCACCACCACCACTACTCCTACTACCGCCACCACCACCACTACTACTACTACTATTACCACCACCACCACTCCTCCTATACCAATATTACTACTACTCCTAACTAATACTACTACTCCCCTACTACTACAACTACTACTACTCCTATACTATACTGTCCTCCTCCTACTGCTCTCTATATATGCTCTAATGATTGTGTATTATATATCGTGCAGTGAGCCAAACAACCATATGGCTCAGTTGTATGTGGATTGTACGTTTGCGAGTACCTGAGGACGTGCACTAGATACAGCAGCAGCTGGCGGCAACTCAAGAAACCACAAGGATGGTGGAGAAAAGAGAAGGTCGACCCAAACTTCAGACAAACAGTAGCAGACATATGTAAGTTTGTCACAGAGCGCGCGCATGAAGGTGACCGTTCTTCAACAAGGAAAGCGAGTTAGTGCTTGATCTGAAGTTCGACAAGATCAGAAACTGGAGCACCAAGTTAGAAATCAAGGATTACTTGTTGCCAGACCTCTTTTCCCAGAAAAGGTGATAACAAGGTGATCTTAGTTTCACATGTAAACATTTGACATCATGCATGTGTGTAATAACTCTGAATGATGTTGGTTGACGATGGAGGACACCAATGAATGTGTTATATGTTTGTGCTCGATATGCATAATATGTGTTCATATATGTCTTCATTCTGGTTTTATATGTGTTTGATTTGTGAAAATAGAATTCAAATTCAATTTTAAATCAAATTGCCGAGGCTTTTTTTAAAATGGGAAAATATTAACGGAGGTGGGCAAGTAACAACAGACCGCCACCATTAAATATATATCGGTGGCGGTCGTGTTATAGCGAGCACCTCGGTTAAACATTTAACAGAGGTGGGCATGTTAGGGCAACCGCCTCCGTTAAGCACCATTAACGGAGGCGGTTGCCTTAAGGCGCCCGCCTCCATTAAACGTTTAACCGTGGCAAGCAGGGCAACCGCCTCCGTAAAGGCACGATTAACCGTGACCTTTGGAGGCGGTTGCAATGCCCACCTCCATTAAACGTTTTTGCCCGCCTCCATTAACATTTCTGTACTAGTGTGAATTCAAAGATGGTTTGAATATAAGAATGATCTTTTAATGCATTGTCAATGAATGGTAACACATAACCATTCAGTTTATTGATGAATCTGAGTGAAGGAAATTTCGTTTCTACTAAAGTTGTATTGCACCTAGATTGTTATGTCAGGAGTTCGATTTTTTGTTGCCCATAGCAACGCACGGGGCTTCAGTTAGTGTAAGGAATAAGAAACCGAACGATAGATTAGGCCCACAATAAATGAACTGACATATATTGCACTTCCAAATTCTCTAATTAGAAGATTGTTCTAAATGTTCTTTGAGCATTTTAGATTAACATCAAAAGTACGATAGCCTTTTCTATCTTGTCTAGCGCAGCAACCGCGAATGTGTGGCAAGCAAAATTAATGAATGCTTTATTTTTTGCACTTGCAGCATTGCGGTGTAGCTTAATATATCGGTCTTTACTATCGGTCTTTACTATCAGCACTCCCTTTGATCTCCGTCATTGACGGTAACTATTGTTATTTTTAGTACCGGTTCTCTCGGAGACACACGGGAGTTGTATGATACCCACTACCTACGCCTTATTTGGATGTCCATATATCTCACTCAATCAATGTGTGTAAATTTCACACTAAATCACTTCAACACACCTAAATTAAAGGAGATACATGGTATCGAACAAGGCCGTAGGTGTTGCAGTAACATCCATCATCCATGGACGTAGTGTAGTGTAAATAAACACTGTAGCTTTTATTCGATCAGAAGACAAGTAACACTGTAGCTTTTATTCGATCAGAAGACAAGTAACACTGTAGCTTTTATTCGATCAGAAGACAAGTACAGGCACAATAACGTGCATATCACCTGATAATGGGCGCGTTCGCTGGTCTTACAAGACCAGCCGGCTGGCTGAATCCATCTCTCAAGTTACTGTTTATCAAACTAGCCAAGCAGTATTTTTCTCATATAACAAACCAGCCGGAACAGTGTTTTTCAGCCAAGTTTCAGCCAGCCGATCGGGCCGATAATTACATAGAGTATTTCTTCTTCAATGCTTTGATGGAGACTCACACGTACGTTCTTTGTGTTTAAAGACGCCTGGCTCCATGCGTGTACTCTCCTGCTACCTAACTAGACCTTCACGATGGTTGCTTTTCCGTTCTTCTTCTTCTTCTTGACCTTGAGGCGGATTTTACGGGGTGAGGCGTCGTCGCAGTCCGCTGGGCTGGATGCCATGGATGCTGCTGCTGCAGCAGCAGCTTCGTCCTCGGGCTTGGGCACGTTGATGCGCTTCATGAGCAGCTCGGGCACCACCCAGTTGGACACGAAGTAGAAGAGCAGCATCAGAGAACTGACCGGGACGAGCGAGGAGACGTCGCCGGTGTCGGAGGGCGAGCCGGGCACCAGCTTCGGGCTCAGGATCTCGCTGATGACCTCCGCTGACGGCAGAGCCCGGATCCTGCCGGCGCACGGCTGCCGCCGGCAACGCGGCAAGGCCGCCGTGTTAGCCCATAGGATCACCAGTTCAGGTGAGTTGACCACTCACCAGTCTTACCGAGTACCCGCTAGTGTTGCCAAGCACTCACTAGCTAAGCCGACCACGAACAAGCGTTGTCCGACCACACACTATGGCTAGAGGTTGAAGAAGAGGAAGAACATAGCATAAACACACAGTACAAGCATCAGCGTTGGCCGAAGCCCTGTATAGGAGATGGAAAAACTGAACTCTCTTTGTTGAGTTGCAGTGACAGACTATATATACAACTCTATCCATCTAGTCTTAGTACAGTTCGCATACTACAACAGTGAGTAGATAACACAAAGAGGGTCGACTTCTGCGTGCATCACACGCATGTGGCTACTGATCCGCATGTGAGCCGTTCGGCGCTTGTCTCTCTGGCTGACTCTGATTACCACAAAGAGGGGGCTTTTTGGCGCCGCCTTCCCTTGCTGTGTGTTCACACAAGGAAGCAGTAGATTATCTAACAATTCTTCCATTAATCCTACTGCTATCCCTTGTACCCTCTCCATGCCGATCATCTCCTTCAGCTCCGTGAGTTGAAGACGTCTGAGCGGCTTGGTGAGGACGTCCGCGAGTTGCCGACCAGTTTCGACGAACTCGATGACGATCTGCCCTCCATTGACACAGCCCCTGAGGAAGTAAAACTTCACGTCGATGTGTTTGCTCCAGTCGTGCAGAACTGGATTCTTCGCGAGGGCGATGGTGGGCTGGTTGTCCACCATCAATGCTGGTGGGTGAACTTCCACACTAGTTAGCTCGCCCAGCAGCCGGCGTAGCCATACAACTTGGCATGCCGCTGTGGCCACCGCTACGTACTCTGCCTTGCACGTAGATAGCGCCACCACCTTCTGTTTCAGCGTCAGCCATGAAATTGGGGCCGACCCAAGAAAGACGAGCACTCCAGAAGTGCTCCGCCATCCGTCGATGTCCCCCGCCATGTCTGCATCGCTGAACACAGTGAGCTACAACCTACTCCCGCCGGTCTTTGAGAAGATGATCCCCTGATCTACCGTCCCTTTGACGTAGGCGCAGTAGCCGCTTCACCACAGCCCAGTGATCATCTCTAGAATCTTCCATGAAGCGACTGACGTAACCCACGGCGAACGTAATGTTCGGCCTCGTGTGGACTAGGTAACGCAGATTGCCGACGATGCTCCGGTAGAGTGTTGCATCCACCTTCGCCGCGGTGCTGGCCTTTGTCAGCTTCAGCGGCTCCTCCATCGGAGTCACGCATGGCTTGCTCTCAGCCATGCCGCTCTGCTCCAACAGCTTCGAGGCATACGCGCTTTGACCGAGCATGAGTTCCTCCTTCCCTTGTCTCACCTCGATGCCGAGGTAGTAGGAGAGTGCGCCGAGATCGCTCATTCGAAAACGAGCCGTCATCTCGCGCTTGAAGCTATTGATGTCCTCCGTGCGCGCGCCGGTGATGATCAAGTCATCCACATACACGCCGACGACGAGCTCCTCCTTCCCCCGTCGCCGTGTGTAAAGCGCGTGCTTGGTTGCGCACCGCTAGAACCCAAGATCGCCCAGCGTGGCGTCAAGCTTGGCATTCCATGCTCGTAGGGCCTGCCGTAGCCCGTAGAGCGCCTTGCACAGTCGGAGCACCCTGTGCTCCTCTCCCTTGACAGCGAAACCTGGAGGTTGCCTGACGAAGACCGTCTCTGCCAGTTCGTCGTTAAGGAAGGCCGATTTAATATCCAAGTGATGGACACGCTAGTCCTTTGCTGCTGTCAAGGCTAGTAGCAAACGGACAGACTCCATGCGCGCTACTGGCGCAAAGACTTTCTCGAAGTCGATGCCCTCGCGCTGAACAAAGCCTCGGGCGACGAGGCGCACCTTGTGCTTGACAATGGCGCCGAGCTCGTCCTGCTTGACCTTGTACACCCACTTCAGACTGATTGGACGGCATCCTAGAGGTGGATCGACGAGCTACCATGTCTCGTTTTCCTCGATCGCCTTCATCTCCTCCAGCATCGTCCGTCGCCAGTTTCCATCACGCTCGGCCAGCGCGAACGTGGGTGGTTCCTCTGTGCTGACGAGCAGCAACTCTTGATCATTGAGCAGCTGACCACCCAGGCCTGAGGGCCCTATGCCGTTGATGATGTCGTTTAGCTTGCGGAATCGCACCTCCTCACCTTCGTGGAAGGCATCCACGAAGTCAATGATGTCACTTGGAGGTGAGGCAAACTCAATCAGTGTTGATGGAGTTTCCTGTTCCACCGGAGTGCTCGGCACAGCACCTGGAGTGCTCGACACTCTGGTTGTAGTGCTCGGCACTACTTCTGGACAGGTCATCATTACTCCTATAGTGCTCGGCACCACTGTAGGAGTGCTCAGACTCTGTCTTGGAGTGATCGGCACCACTGCAAGACCTCTTGGATCCGCTATGTTAGTGCTCGGCACCCATTCTAGAGTGGTCGCCACCACTGCAGAAACTCCCGGCACCACTCCTGGCATGCTCGGCATCCCTTCAGGAGTGCTCAGCACTCCTCCCTAAGTGCTCGGTATCCCTCCTGAAGTGCTCGGCACTGCCCTAGGAGTGCTTGGCTCTACCGCTAGAGTGCTCGGCACCCCTTCCCCAGCATCTCCAGAACCGTGGATAACCAAGTGCTCGACGACGAAGGTGCTGGTGAAGCCGCCAGCTTCCTCCGTGCTCGGACTGGTCCAGTCCCAAGCGGCCTTCTCATCGAACACGACGTCGCGTGAGACAAGTACCTTGTCTCCACGTGGGTCGTAGAGCCGGTACGCTTTGGTACCCTCCGCGTAGCCCAAGAACACCATCGGTGTGCTCCTATCCTCCAGCTTGGTGAGGATCAGCTTTGTCTTCCTAATGTGGCCGATGCAACCGAATGTCCGGAGGAAGGACATGCTCGGCTTGCACCCATACCAAGCTTTGAACGGCATCTTGCCCGTCAAAGCCTTGGTCGGAGCACGGTTGAGGATGAACACCGCCGTGGTCATTGTCTCACCCCAGAACCTTACCGGCATGCCTTTGGCCTTCATCATGGATCAAGCCATGCCGACCACCATCTGGTTCTGCCTCTCCACCATGCCATTCTGTTGTGGCGAGTACGGCGCGGTGTGGTGTCGCACCACACCCTAATCCGCGCAGTACGCAGCGAACTCCACCGAAGTAAATTCGCCGCCGCGATCAGTCCTCAGCACGCGGAGCTTCTTACCGCTCTCGGCCTCCGCACACATCTTGAACTTCTTGATCGCCACTGCCGCTTCGTCCTTGCTCGTCAGGAGTTGTAGCCACATGTAGTGACTGCAATCATCCACGAGCAGGAGGAAGTACCGCCGACCACCGTTTGTGGCTGGTGTCCTTCGCACGATACTTGGCCGCCTTTGGGAATGGTAGCCTCCTCTGCTTCCCGGCCAGGCAGCTGTCACACAGCTTGCCTCCGTGCTTGATGTGGGGTAGCCCTCAGACCATCTTCTCTAGCCGACCAAGCACGTTGAAGCTGAGATGTCCGAACCGGGCATGCCACATCCATGGTTCCTCGTTGTGCCTTGCCGCCAGACACACCGGCTGTTCTACCTTCAGGTCGAGCAGGTACAACCGGTTTTGAGACCTCTTCACCTTGGCAAGAAGTCGCTGTTCCCGGTCCCTGATCCTAAGGACTCCATCCTTGATCAGTACCTCGCTACCGCATTCATCCAGCTGACCAATGCTGATGATGTTGGAACACAGCTGCAGGATGTAATATACATCCGTTAGCGCGCGGTGCTCCCCGTTCTGGCACCTAAAGATGATGGTGTCGTGCCCTTGGATAGCCGCCCTTGAGCCATCACCAAACTTCACCATACCGGTAACATCGTCGTTGAGCTCGGAGAAAGATGTCTTGGAGCCCGTCATGTGGTTGCTGGCACTAGAGTCCAGATACCACCGCTGCTCCTAGTCGGCGCCCACACGTCCAAGGTGGTCTTGGGCGCGCGGTTCATTGAAGTTGATAGCCTTCAGGGCCTTCCTAGGTCCTTCCACCATCGTCGCCTCTTCCTTCTCCTCGGTCTCGATGTCGTGCAGTGCACAGAACGTCGCCATCAGGATAGTGGCCTCATCTTTATCATCCGCTTGCGCCAAATAAGCCTCAGCCTTCTTCTCCTGCTTGCGATTTGGGCACTCCCATGCCCAATGGCCAGTCTTCCCACAGCGCCGACATGCGTTGGGGTCGTTCTGCTTCTTCTCCGAAGAAGCTTTGCCGCGGCGCTTGCCATCACCACCGCGGCTGGAGGAGGCTACCTTCCTGGAGTTCCTCCGAGCAGCCCACTCCTCTTCTGTCAGCAGCAGTTTATCGCTGTCCTTCATTGCCGTCGCCTGCTCCAGGCGCTCGTCCACCGTCCGTAGATGTTCTGTCACATCCTCAATGGTGAGGGTGGACAAGTTCAGCATCGTCTCTATGGAGAGAGCGATCTGGATGTACTTTGTCGACATAGAGTGGAGGTACTTGGAGACCGCCTCCTCTTCGTCGATGGTGACGCCGTGGCTTTTCAGCTTGCTGATGAGCGTCTGTAGGCCGAGGAAGAAGTCCTCCACCGTTTCACCATCCTTGAACTTGAGGTTGGCGTACTCCTGCTTCAGAAGTTAGGCCGTCGCCTTCTTTGCGCGGTCGGAACCGACGCGCATCGCCGCAATAGCCTACCACGCCTCCTTAGCCGAGCTATTCGTCCCCAACGGCTCCCTGTACTCCGTCGGTACAACATCGAGGATAGCCTCCAACGCTGACATGTCATCTTCCTCATTGTCGGTAACCTTGTCAACAGCATTCCAGAGCCTTCAGGCTCTGAGCTTGACCTTCATGGTCACCGCCCACTCTCC